ACAAAAAAACAGAAAACTTGAGCGTGCATAACTATTCACCCCCCCAAAGTCAATACTTTGTAGAGCCACTTTTTGCAGCAATTACAGCTGCAAGTCTCTTGGGGTATGTCTCTTTAAGCTTGGCACATCTAGCCACTGGGATTTTTGCCCATTCTTCAAGGCAAAACTGCTCCAGCTCCTTCAAGTTGGATGGGTTCCGCTGGTGTACAGCAATCTTTAAGTCATACCACAGATTCTCAATTGGAATGAGGTCTGGGCTTTGACTAGGCCATTCAAATCAAATCAAATCAAATCTTATTGGCCACATGTGCCGAATACAACAGGTGCAGACATTACAGTGAAATGCTTACTTACAGCCCTTAACCAACAGTGCATTTATTTTTTGATTCCAAGACATTTAAATGTTTCCTCTTAAACCACTCGAGTGTTGCTTTAGCAGTATGCTTAGGGTCATTGTCCTGCTGGAAGGGGAACCTCCGTCCCAGTCTCAAATCTCTGGAAGACTGAAACAGGTTTCCCTCAAGAATTTCCCTGTATTTAGCGCCATCCATCATTCCTTCAATTCTGACCAGTTTCCCAGTCCCTGCTGATGAAAAACATCCCCACAGTATGATTCTGCCACTGTGGGGATGGTGTTCTCGGGGTGATGAGAGTTGTTGGGTTTGCACCAGACATAGCGTTTTCCTTGATGGCCAAAAAGCTCAATTTGAGTCTCATTTGACCAGAGTACCTTCTTCCATATGTTTGGGGAGTCTCCCACATGGCTTTTGGCGAACACCAAACGTGTTTGCTTATTGTTTTCTTTAAGCAATGGCTTTTTTTCTGGCCACTCTTCCATAAACCCCAGCTCTGTGGAGTGTACAGTTTAAAATGGTCCTATGGACAGATACTCCAATCTCCGCTGTGAAGCTTTGCAGCTCCTTCAGGGTTATCTTTGGTCTCTTTGTTGCCTCTCTGATGAATGCCCTCCTTGCCTGGTCCGTGTTTTGGTGGGCGGCCCTCTCTTGGCAGGTTTTTGTGGTGCCATATTCTTTTCATTTTTTAATAATGGATTTAATGCTGCTCCGTGGGATGTTCAAAGTTTCAGATGTTTTTATAACCCAACCCTGATCTGTACTTCTCCACAACTTTGTCCCTGACCTGTTTGGAGAGCTCCTTGGTCTTCATGGTGCCGCTTGCTTGGTGGTGCCCTTTGCTTAGTGGTGTTGCAGACTCTGAGGCCTTTCAGAACAGGTGTAGATATACATTGATCATGTGACAGATCATGTGACACTTAGATTGCACACAGGTGGTCTTTATTTAACTAATTATGTGACTTCTGAAGGTAATTGGTTGCACCAGATCTTATTTAGGGGCTTCATAGCAAAGAGCACTTCACCAATTTGGACTATTTTGTGTATGTCCATTACATGAAATCCAAATAAATATCAATTTACATTACAGGTTGTAATGCAACAAAATAGGAAAAACGCCAAGGGGGGTGAATACTTTTGCAAGGCACTTTCTCCGTTTTGTACTTTTCTGACTCCCTCAAAGCTGGAAGGCTCCAGAAACTTTATGAGTTGGCCGGCTACCCCTCATAAATGTACAATTAGCACTGTTTTGATTGTCAGTATCAAGTAAGTGGTCAGGATATAATCACAATTAGGATTTCCTTTTCCACTCGAATAATAACTCCACATTTGTGATTTCTCACTCACATTCTCTGACGGGTGGCTTTTTCCATGTTGGCGGCATCCGAAGGTGATGAATTTGAAGTCCTCTCAAAAATAATAGTGTCTACCTTTAATCGTGGCATGCCACTTAACACATTAGCACAGTCACTTTAATTGGGGAAATAGCTGTGTGAGAAGCACATCAAAGACACAAGCAGAAACTTGAACACATGCAATCATGGACGGGTGGCAGGACAGCTGGACTGTGTGTCAGAGGTATGGATCTTTCACAATCTCTCATAATAGAGGGAGAAGGTTTCAGAGCTGCCAGGCTGCAACACCATGTCCATTCATCTGGCATGTTTTTTTCTCTGTTATTCTGGAGGAGCAGCAAGGTTGGGATACTCTATGTCATGACTGCTGCTATTTATATACCTGCTGCGGATATACAGTATTAAAGTAACTGTTTTTAAGCGTTTTTATTTCTCTCCACAAATACAAGTATAGGATGAGTCAACAACATTACTTGGGTATGAGTTAACAGAATATTAACTTTAAAAGTGAGATTTTCACTGCACAGTTACTTTAAAAAGTCAGGTCTGCAGCTTTAGCCTGGATATAACTCCCGAGCCACCACGGGAAACAGACCGAGTCAGAGATTTGGAATTCCATGATCTTGGTGGGAGTCACGTTCAGAACCCTGTCCCAAATGACTTTACCTTCAATTCACCAAACCCCCTTGGAATCCTATTGCTTTTCTATGACCATGCAGCGCTCATTATTTAATGGCCTTTCACTGGCAGTGGCTGTGGATAATGTGACCTGAAAGGAGGACAGTGTGGAGCATTAGTCTAACCACAGAGAACACCCAAAAACTCACTGATTGCCTTCTCCTCTGCTCTGGCTCAATGTGAGTTAGAAGAAGGAGGAGAACATCAGTGTCCCAGGTTACCTGTACTTGAGAGAGAATGAGAAACAGAGCGTGAAAGAGAGGGAGAAAAAGAGAGGGAGAGAGAGAGAGATAAAGAGGGGGATGTGAGAGAAACGAGTGTCCACTCCACTGACAGTCAGACATCACGGAGAACCAGTGACCTGATCGAGGAGGTAAAACGACTACACCGTGACAGTTATATTGTTCACGAGAGAGAACAGCGGGCACTCTGTCGAGTGGGGCTGCGTGCAGCCATTGGACCGCTGTAATTAGAAACATTTGGGATCATTTGCAAGGGAACACGAGCCCAAATGGGAACCAGATGGATCAACCAATGGCGGGTTTCACCCGAAATACAGGAACCCTTATTTACGAGGGGAGGTGAAGGGTTCCTGGTCGGGGGGAGAGGAGTTCATCTCCATCCCCCCTATCCAGACTCCCAAAAGAGGATGGCCCTCTGGCTTGTATCGGCTCGGCTCTAGGGGGGGTACACGCCGTTCAGTCTACTCTGGAGGTCAAAGCCAGTCTGAAGGCTGACTGGTGGTGAAGAACATCATACATCATCTTGAAGACACTGTATTTCTAAACACACCATGTAGATGTTAAACACATTAATGTACCTCCCGGTGGGTTAACTTGGGGGTTCTCCAGTTATGAAAACACACACTCACAACGGCAAGACCACTGATGATGTTCAGAAGAGTTTAATACTGTAGAATTCAGAAACAAGAACAGAATCTAATGTCACTATTTCTTGCCCCATTGACAGATGGGTTTGTTCTGCTTGTCCCTCCACATGGTTGAGTTGCCACTAATTTAGGGTGATGCCATTCAGTAGTCTACACATCATGTAGTGTGGCTCTAAGGCCCCATGTCAGAATCAGTGTGATTCTACAGTAGGTTTATGACTAAACAGAGGTAGGAGTTCATTACAAGATGAATGTATGAGTGTATCATCAGTCAGATGTAAAGTTCATTTCAGATGCTTTCATGTGCTTTCAGGGGCAGTCATCACTTTGCACTAGATTACATTCTGTAGCTCTGTCTGTGAAGAAAGAGGAAAAGATCAATTACAAACCAAAACTCTGTATTTGATATCAAGTATCCCCTAACCATCATGTATAGGCAAAACTACTTCTTAGTGAGAAATATTTGAAATATTTTCTCCAACCAACCTGGGTTTGAGGCAAAGGAGGGATGATTTAGGGACAGCAACTGTGGATAGGGGATTGTTTTCAGCCCTATGCTGCCTCCCAGTGGACAATACCTTTATGGATCAAATAATAAGTTAATTACTTACCTTTTCTTTGATTATGCACTGCATTTGTGGTGCCTTCTGTATGCGATCATCCTACAGGCTATATTATATACGGTTAATATGAATGTTAAATTGTTCAGCAGGATAAGACGGCAACAGTATAGGTCCTGTAGCCCTGTGCAATGTTAAAATCTCGGATCCATTTAACTAGTACGTTTTAACTGCACGTGTGAATTGGTAGTTCCACTACCAGGCAAAGAAAGACTGAGATCACTTTGTAAGAGCTCTGTTCTGTTTGACCTTAAATGGATGTGATGTATTGCCCTAAATACTTCACCTGATCTCCACTCACAAACACTATCAGGGGGATATACTGAACTGTAAAGGACAGAACATTGAGGTGTATTTAAAGCAGGACAGTGGTTAAGTACTGTTTCTTTATCAAGCCTCCCTATGTGACCATAGTGCTTCAACCGTGTACCCTCTCTACTTTTGTATGCGTTACATCCTGTCTGTCTTTCTGTGCCACTGACACAGAACTGAAACCACATCCGCATCAGGCAAAACCATACAGTTCACAAAACCATGGTTAATCAATTCCCCTCACCTTCAATTCAATTGAGCTTGTGTAATAGTGCTCTCCTTATTGTCAGTGGTTCACACTGTAGAACTCTACTGCCCTAGTCCAACCACATTAATTTAATGTGAACACATGAAGTGTTCCAAAAACACATTTCCATGTGATCGCATATGATCTTATGTGAAGTTAATGTGATAACGTGTGACAACAAGTAAAGCAACATGTGATAACATGAAACTACATAATCTAGGAAAAGTGAAAAGGCCATTGACTTGATCTGAATATACATACAGTATTTCATACAGTAGTGCCACTAGACCTTCAACTAACTAACTCCTACTTACCTGAATAACAAGATATTTCCATTATTTAGCATTTTCATCACTTCACATGAGTTGCCCTAAGCAGTGCCTCCTGCTTGACACAGTTAGTTCTTGTCTGCGGGGGGACTCATGCAACACCTCTGACTCATAGAATGCAGTGATGCTGAAAATGCACATTTCACAATTATTCAGGTCACATTCTTGACATTATGAGGTATCTTCTTGTGATATGTCTTGCAGTGCTGGTACTGACCATCAACCCACCATCTAGGTGGGTACTGTAGTCCGTCAGGCCAAGGCTCTGCTGCAGTGTAGGGAGGGTCAGGCGTCTCCCCCGTCCTGCTCTTTCTTCTGGACAGATCTCCACTTGTCCTGCTCCTCGAAGATCTCCTGTCTGTCTCTCAGGAAGTATATTCCGGAACTCCCATTGGTGCTCACGTACTGTGGTGTTACATCACTCAGGTGCTAAGAATTGTTTCAATGGGAGGCAGAATTCCTTGGAAGAGATAAAAATGGAAGGAAAAGGAAGAAAAAACACAAATACATGGAGTTTGATATTATAGCCTATGAATAAAAAGGCAACTTCTTTAAAGAGGCAATGCAGTCAAAAACGTGATTTTCCTGTGTTTTACAGTATACAGTGCCTTCGGAAAGTATTCAGACCCCTTGACTTTTTCCACATTTTCTTACGTTACAGCCTTATTCTAAATTTGATTAAATGTTTTTTTCCCCTCATTAATACACCCAATACCCAATAATGACAAAGCAAAAACAGGTTTTTAGAATTTCTTGACATTTGAAATATACATAATTATTCAGACCCTTTACTCAGTACTTTGTTGAAGCACCTTTGGCAGCGATTACATCATCGAGTCTTCTTGGGTAAGACACTACAAGCTTGGCACACCTGGATTTGGGGAGTTTCTCCCATTCTTCTCTGCAGATCCTCTCAAGCTCTGTCAGGTTGGATGGGGAGCGTTGCTGCACAGCTATTTTCAGGTCTCTCCAGAGATGTTCGATCGGGTTTAAGTCCGGGCTCCGGCTGGGCCACTCAAGGACATTCAGAGACTTGTCCCGAAGCCACTCCTGCGTTGTCTTGGCTGTGTACTTAGGGTCGTTGTCCTGTTGGAAGGTGAACCTTCACCCCAGTCTGAAGTCCTGAGAGCTCTGGAGCAGGTTTTCATCAAGGATCTCTCTGTACTTTGCTCCGTTCAGCTTTGCCTCGATCCTGACTAGCCTCCCAGTCCCTGCCGGTGAAAAATATCCCCACAGCATGATGCTGCCACCACCATGCTCACCGTAGGGATTGTGCCAGGTTTCCTCCAGAGGTGACGCTTGGCATTCAGGCCAAAGAGTTCCATTTTAGTTTCATCAGACCAGAGAATCTTGTTTGTCATGGTCTGAGAGTCTTTAGGTGCCTTATGGCAAACTCCAAGCAGGCTGTCATGTGCCTTTTACTGGGGAGTGGCTTCCGTCTGGCCACTCTACCATAAAGGCCTGATTGGTGGAGTGCTGCAGAGATAGTTGTCCTTCTGGAAGGTTCTCCCATCTCCACAGAGGAACTCTACAGCTCTGTCAGAGTGACCATCGGGTTCTTTGTCACCTCCCTGACCAAGGCCTTTCTCCCCCGATTGGTCAGCTCTAGGAAGAGTCTGGGTGGTTCCAAACTACTTCCATTTAAGAATGATGGAGGCCACTGTGTTCTTGGGGATCTTCAATGCTGCAGATATTTTTTGGTACCCTTCCCAAGATCTGTGCCTCGACACAATCTTGTCTCGGAGCTCTACGGACAATTCCTTCGACCTCATGGCTTCCAAATCATGTCCAATCAATTGAATTACCACAGGTGGACTCCAATGAAGTTGTAGAAACATCTCAAGGATAATCAATGGAAACAGGATGCACCTGAGCTGAATTTCGAGTCTCATAGCAAAGGGTCTTAATACTTATGTAAATAAGGTATTTCTAAAAACCTTTTTTCGCTTTGTCATTACGGAGTATTGTGGGTAGATTGTTGAGGATTTTTATTTATTTAATCAATTTTAGAATAAGGCTGTAACGTAACAAGATGTGGAAAAAGTCAAGGGGTCTGAATACTTTCTGAAGGTACTGTGTACAGGTAACTGCCAACATAATGGAAACACAAGTAAATTAGGGATACAAAGTATATTGAAAGCAGGTGCTTCCACACAGGTGTGGTTCCTGAGGTAATTAAGCAATTAACATCCCATCATGCTTAGGGTCATGTATACTGAACAGAAATATAAACACAATAGGTCAAGTGTTAGTCCCATTTTTCATGAGCTGAAATAAAAGATCCCAGAAATGTTCCATACACACAAAAAACTTATTTCTCTCAAATTGTGCGTTCAAATGTGTTTACATCCCTGTTAGTTAGTATTTCTCTTTTGCCAAGATCATCCATCCAACTGACAGGTGTGGCATATCAATAAGCTTATTAAACAGCATGATCATTACACAGGTGCACCTTGTGCTGGGGACAATAAAAGGTAACTCTAAAATGTGCCGTTTTGTCACACAATGCCACAGATGTCTCAAGTTTTGAGGGAGCATTCAATTGGCATGCTGACTACAGGAATGTCCAACAGAGCTGTTGCCAGAGAATTGAATGTTAATTTCTCTACCATAAGCCGCCTCCAACGTCGTTTTTACGAGAATTTGGCAGTACATCCAACCGACCTCACAACCGCAGACCACGTGTAACCACGCCAGCCCAGGAATCCACATCCGGCTTTTCCACCTGCAGGATCGTCTGAGGAGGGGGAGGGCGAGGGTGCTGCGGAGTATTTCTGTCTTTAATAAAGCCCTTTTGTGGGAAAAAACGTATTCTGATTGGCTGGGTCTGAATCCCCAGTGGGTGGACCTGGCTCCCAAGTGGGTGGGCCTATGGCCCTCCAAGGCCCACCCATGGCTGTGCCCCTGCCCAGTCATGTGAAATCCATAGATTAGGGCCTAATTTATTTATTTATATTGACTGATTTTCTTCTATGAACTGTAACTCAGTAAAATCTTTGAAATTGTTGCATGTTTCGTTTATGTTTTTGTTCAGTATTTAAAAATGCTGGGCAGGGCATTATTTTGGCCATTATTTTGGCTACCATGGCACTTTTAGATTCTATGCCAAGGTGCATTGATGCTGTGTTGGCTCGTGGTGGCCCAACGCCCTATTAAGAAACTTTATGTTGGTGTTTCCTTTATTTTGGCAGTTACCTGTATATTTCCACACTATGAGGTTGGACTAATACTGTGAAATTGTGAAAATGATGACAATGCCCATTTAAGGTAAGAGCTGTTTGCAAAGACCGCCTGAAATTTCACCTTGTTTTGCATGGGTGGGGAATTGGAGTTAGATCAATAACAAAGGATTCCTGCTTGAGAAGCAGCTTTTTGTTAAAAATCTGTTTTTGTTTCTTTTTGACCATTTTATTAAAAACAGTCACAGTAAGGTACTAAATTGTTACCCAGAAATGATATGATATTGAGATAAAAACGACTGCATTGGATCTTTAAGTGTGAAAGATGAAAATGTTCTTATAAATGTAAAAATTGTACCATCACATAGTAATGTTATCAATTAAAGCTATTCTGACATTACTTTGTGAAAGGAAAAACTGTTGTGTAAACATTTTAATTGGATTATGTTGTCTGCCCTGTCCAGATGTGTATTTACCTGGAGCAGGACGGCACAAAGACAACCGGACTTCAGGAGGAGAGCCTCTCAGCAGCATGACCACCCTCTACAGGCCATAGAGAGAACAGTCACTCAATGTCATCCACAGCCAGGCAATTACGTAATTATGGGTAAGAAAGACCAGAGATGGACTAAGGAGCTGACCACTGAGAAGGGATCTGTACACTGCGTGCATGTTCTTAGATCTTTACTTATGAATCCCAACCATGTGTTAATGAGGTACACTGAATCTAAGTACTCTTGGATTCACCACAATACAATTGAATGTTAGTTAATAACCAAGTCTACATCTGTTGTATTTGGCGCATGTGGCAAATAAAATTGGATTTTAAGTTAGTGTCTCCCAATTGGCTTGATGTAACATAATTGGTATTTATTCATCAGGGGATAAATGGTCATAATGAAAGACAATGATCACAGATAATGGTGATACAGTGCTATTGAACAAACCAATCACATTGGGTGAAACTAAACCCCTTTCTCTCACACTAAATTGTCACAATATCTCTGTCTTCCTATGCTCAGATTAACACAAACCCACCCACCCCCATATACAGTATTCTAACTCACAGTTGTAGCTACAGTTGTACAGTCGTATTACGTCACACCAGTCTACGTTAATATTTACCTGGTAGGACAATCCCTTCAGCGGTTCTCCATTGACTGCCAGGATGACGTCTCCCTCCTGGATCTGCCCACTCTCCTCCGCTGGCTGGCCAGGGAAAAGCTTCTTGATCCGGACAAGACTACTGCCTGAGTCTCCTTTTGAGGGGTTGAGCTCAGGGACCAGGAAGCTGAAGCCCAAGCCATTCAGGCTCTTCTTCAAGGTCACCTCCAGAGTGTTATCTGTAGGGTGGAGGGGTTAGGGGATTGAAGTGTGTCAGAGTTCATCTTGGAGGCTTGGATGGTGGATCCAGGACTGAGTTTGGGAAACCCTGCTCTAAAGGAGGGATTAGAAATCATGCAACATCACCCATGGACAATGATAACCTTGCTTCGGAGGTCAATCCCTCGAAGCACCAGTGTTCCCCTTATACTAAAGTTCCCTTGTCAATGATATTTCCCTTACTGTCAGACACAAAGCTGTAGTCCTTGGGCCTGACGAAGAAGGGGGTGATGATGGTGGGGCAGCTGTTGTTCCTCATCTGGGTGATGTCCAGGTGGGCACTCTGAGGGGACAGGCTGCGCCCCATGAGACTGCGCCCTGTGTCTGGGCTCAGAGACACCCTGGGCAGGGTCATGTTCTCCCTCTCCAAGACCATGGTCACCACCTAGGACAGGAAAGGGTTAAATGAAGACAAACAATGTGACACGCCAGCCCAACAGGGGCTGATGAACTTTCATGTGCCTTAATTACAAACTTGTATGGGATCCGTAAATATGAATACAAATGTTAAATTATGAGCCTAGTTTAGCCAAGGAGAAAGCACTGAGCTATATAGGGATAAAGACAGGATCCTTCCTGGCTAGCCATGATTGGCTGAGATAATGGTGGGTTTGAACATGCAGACTGTTTGTCATGCATTTAAATGTGAATTCTTAAAGAGATGGGTGATCTATTGCTTAAGAGGGTGTGAACGATGCTGAATGGGTGTAAACAAATTAGACCTCTCTAGCACTCAACAAAATCTTTCAAGGGCATTCTCTCCTACTTATCTCCTAAGTGGGATAACAAGTTTATCAACGTTTAAAGTAGAATAACTTTCCCATGCTTCTTCCTATCACAGTGTATGATATACAATTTTGGAGTCTGATTTTTTGTAATCTGTAAAAAAAAAAGCATTTAGGATTTTTTCTACATAAGGAGGATGAGCGGCTCCTGGGAGGAACAGGCAAGTCGCCCACGGAGGGCTCATACCAGGACAGCCTGCTCCAAGCCAGTGGAGGTTTCCTGCTTCACCACGCCCCACAGCGCCACCTGGAGGAAGGTGCGGTGTCTCGTTGTCCTGCACAGCGGCATGGAGACGGACATGGACCAGATGGCAGTGGTCCAAGGAATGCCCACCCGAACATTGAAGGTGGCCCACTACAGGGCAGAGGAGTTCTGGGAACCCTACCTAGCCTAGTTTCAGCTAGCTGTGTGGCATAATGGTTGGGCTGAAGAGGAAATAACTGTGCAGCTTGGCCTGGTCCTACTTGCCCTGGACCTACAGGCCCTCCTAGACCTCAGCTCTGCCCTAACTAACACCTTGAGGCAGAGGTTTGGCAGTAGAGACTCCATCGAGAGCATGCAAGAGAAGCTAGCAGGTCGCAAGAGAAATTGAGATGAGAGTCTTGGCGCCCTGGCTACAGATATGCATTATTACGCCAGACAAGGGTACCCCCCGTTTGCCACGGCTGATCAGGAGGAACTGGCCCTACATGCCTTCCTCTGGAAGGCTCCAACAGCATGGGCGCCTGGCTGCCCCTGCCACACTGTCTAAGACCCTGGAGTCTATTTATTGCCTTACCTCCATAACTTGCTACATTTGCACACACTGTATATATATGTATTTCTGTTGTATTTTTGACTTTGTTTTGTTTTACCCCATATGTAACTCTGTGTTGTTGTTTTTTATCGCACTGCTTTGCTTTATCTTGGCCAGGTCGCAGTTGTAAATGAGAACTTGTTCTCAACTGGTTTACCTGGTTAAATAAAGGTGAAATAAAATTTAAAAAAATAAAAAAAGAAGCAGAAAGAGTGGAAAACATCTTGGGCCCAGAGAGTTGGGTTATCCCAAGGACAATGTGGGTAGAAACGGAGGTGGAGACCAAGAGTGACTCAGATGAGGTAGTCTGCAAAGCCAAAGTGGAGCACCGGCAGTGGACTCTACTACGGTCCACTTCGAGAGGTCAAAGCCAGTCTGAGATGATCTGTTTCCACTGTGGGCAGAAAGGCCACATTGCTCACCACTGTGAAGCCCCACCTCAGCCCTTGCCCGCCCTTGAGTCGACATAAAACGCCAGGGGGGTGATGAAGTGAGGGGAGCATCATCCCAGTCCCCTGACCCCCTTGTTGAGCCGGAACATCAAGTTGGTTGTTTGGGCCAGACGCAGAGCCTCTACCTTCCATGCAGCATCAGCGGTGAGGCCTGCTAGGTGTTGATTGACACTGTTTCCATTATATCCCTTGTTCCGTATGTTGTTCTTCCAGACACAGTGGCCCCCTCCCCTCCGGGTTGGATCCCTACCTCAGTATGTCTTCACACTGTGACAAGGGAGCTTGTGGACATGAAGGGCCGGTGGACCTTATCGGTGAGAGTCGGCAATGTCTCGTTGGAGCACAAGTTATGGTTGGCCGATATCCAAGATGACTACATCCTAGGGTTGGATTTCCTCAGTCAAGCAGGGGCATGCTTAGATGTTGGATCACGGATACTCCAGATTAAAGACTCTGTGATGGAATTTAGGAGCAGTAGAAGAAGACAACGTCAGTCGCACATGACTCGGCAGACAGTCCCACAAAGATCCTTCCTCTAGATGAGAAGGAGCAGCTGAAGCCCCCCGAAGAGGTGAGTGTGCCCCAGCAGGTGAGCAGTGGCACAGTGGATGTACCTTCGGAAGCTATCCGGCAAGCTGTGCGGGAACTAGGGAAAAGGTGTTCAGAAGAGCTGGAGCCTGAGCAGCAGGACAAGTTGGAAGCACTGCTTGCAAAGTTTGTGGATGTCTTTGCAGCATGAGATGTAGACTGCCGGAGAACCAGTCTGGTCCAGCACTCTATCAACATTGGTGACGCAGCACCTATCCATTTACTTGCCACTGGAGAAGAGAGAGGTAGTGGAGCAGAATATGGGCGCCGAGTGGCGCAGTGTTCCACTAGAGATCCTGGTTCGAATCCAGGCTCTGTCGTAGCCGGCCGCGACCGGGAGACCCATGGGGCGGCGCACAATTGGCCCAGCGTCGTCCAGGGTAGGGGAGGGAATGGCCGGCAGGGATGTAGCTCAGTTGGTAGAGCATGGCGTTTGCAACGCCAGGGTTGTGGGTTCGATTCCCACGGGGGCCAGTATGAAAAAAATAAAATAATATTGTATGCACTCACTAACTGTAAGTCGCTCTGGATAAGAGCGTCTGCTAAATGACTTAAATGAAATGAAATGAAATGAAATATCCAAGAGATGGCAGAGACAGGGTTCATTGAGCCATCCAACAGCCCTTGGGTGGCCCCTGTAGTCCTTGTCAAGAAGGATGGCTCATGGCGCTTCTGTGCAAACTACAGGCAGCTGAACTATGTGACCAGGAAGGATTCCTATCCCCTCCCACACATAGATGCACTGGACTACATCACAGGGTGACGGTGGTTCAGTTCCCTTGATCTCCGCAGCGGTTATTTGCAAGTGTAGCTTGCCCTTGAAGCCAGGTCAAAGACCGCTTTCTCGATTGGACAAGGACTGTGGCAGTTCACTGTGATGCCCTTCGGGCTCTGCAATGCTCCGTGTCTTATGGAGCAAGTGCTGGCCACAATCCCCCGCAACAAGTGTGTGATCTACCTGGATGACCTCCTTGTGCATGCAGCGGACTTCCAGGGATCTCTGGCGAATTTGTGTGAGGTTCCACTTGCCATCCGGCAGGCAGGACTTGAGCTCCACCCCAAGAAGTGTCACCTATTTCAGCGGGAGGTCAAGTTCCTATGCCAAGTCATCGGGGCAGACAGAGTCGTAACTGACCCAGCCAAGGTGGTGTGGGTTCAGCACTGGTCGACCTCCAAGGACCTCTCTGAGTTGAGAAGCTTAGTTGACCTAGCTTCTTACTACCAGAGGTTCATCAAGGACTTTGCAACAGCAGCCATCCCTTTGCACCGCCATACAAACAAGGACCAGTGGTTCGACTGGAATGAGGACTGTGCGGCTGCATTCGCTGAACTGCGAGAGGCCCTTACCAAGGCTCCAGTCCTGGCAAACCCCAACCCCCAGCACCCATTCATCGTGGACACAGATGTGGGCATTGAGGCTGTTCTTTTGTAGGAGGGGCTTGATAGGTAATAAGTGGTGGCCTTATACAGTCGGAGCCTCAACCGTGTCGAGGTTAACTACTGTGTCACCCGGCGAGAGTTGTTGGCTGTGGACAACGCACACCACCATTTCTGACTCGACCTCTACGGGACCCAGTTCCTCCTTCGTACTGACCATGCCTCACTCACCTGGCTCTTCAACTTCTGAGAACCACAGGTCCAGGTGGCTCCTTGGATAGAAGAGTTACAGAAGTGAGACTACCAGATGTAGCACCGGGCTGGTCGTCTCCACACAAACGCTGATGCGTTGTCTCGCTGGCCGTGTGAAGAGGAAGACTGCAAGCACTGCCCACACATAAAGATGGTTTCCTGCCCACAGTGGTGGAAATTCAGGCAGCAGACAGGAGCTCAGCACCCTTGGAGACCTGGAATGACCAAGACCTGAAGAGGGAGCAGGAAGGTGACCCGGTGTTGGCAACTGTTCGGGGCTGGTTGGAGACCGACCAGCGGCCTGCCTGGAACAGAGTCTCACCCCTGTGCCTTGAAGCCAAGGCCTACTATTCACAGTGGGACAACCTTGCCATTCATATGGGTTGCTGTTTCGAAGATGGAGGGAACCAACACGTAACTCTGTGGTGTGGCAGTGGCTGTGCCTCGTTCCATGCGTGTCAGAGCTGTCCATGGGTAGGTGGGGGAGGCCACTTCGGGCATAAAAATACCTTCCACCGCCTCTGGAGGAAACTCTACTGAGCTGGCTGCCGTCAAGACACGGAACAGTATGTGCATGCCTGTGACACCTGTACTGTCCACAAAGGACCAACTGGACGCTCCCATGCCCTGTTGCAGCAATAACAGGTGGGGGCCCCCATGAAGCGGGTTGGTGTGGACATCCTGGGTCCTTTCCCCAAGGCCAACGCGGTCCTCGACCAGGGCACCACAACCACTGCCACCAAGCTGGTGGAGGAGATGTTCTGCCAGTTTGGAGTACCGGAAGAACTCCAAAGCGATCAGGGGAGACATTTTGAAGCTAAGGTATTCAACAAATTATATGAGAAGCTGGGGGTATGCAAGACAAGGACCACCCCCCTGCATCCCCAAAGCGACGGGCTCGTCGAACTGTTTAATCAGACTTTGGCGATACAGCTGGTCACTCTCACCTCCAACCACCAGAAGGACTGGGACCGACATCTGCCATTGGTCTTGTGGGCTTATCAGTCAGCAGTGCAGGAGTCCACTGGCTGCACCCGAACAGCACTGATGTTTGGCAGAGAACTGCACACTCCAGTGGACTTGGAGTACCTCCACCACCTTCAGCAGTGCCCGGACACAGCCCACAACTTTGCATGCAATGACTTGACTGAAGCAGGGGTCAAACAGAAGAGGGCATACGACACCCATTGTTGAGGTCAGCCATTCCAGCCTGGCCAAGAAGTGTGGGTGTACAGCCCTCGGCACAAGCGTGGTCTGAGCCCAAAACTCATGTGCCACTGGGAAGGCCCATGCATGGTTCTGGAACTAATTTCTGACGTGGTGTACCGCATCCAGCTTCGGACTCGTGGACCAGTTGTGGTCCTTCATTAAGATCAGGAAAGAGAGGACAAGGAGGTGGTTACTCCTCTTCCCAGCCCTGGACCATCGGAAAACGCAGCGGTTTCCTCATTCGAGGGGCAAGGTTCAGAATGGGACTCACCCGCGGCCATCAGGGTGCCGTCGCAGAAGGCTTCCATCTCGAGGTTAGGATGGCACCCACCAATGGCAACCAAGACACCGCCGACGAAGAGCCCCGTCCAGGTTTCAGGACTTTGTGTTGGATTTCGGCGTTGTCTGGGAAGCCTGACCCCTAAGGTTGGGGCAATGTAGCGGCGGCAGCATATTAGAGGATCTTGAGGTGTGGCTTGTTGGAGGTGTGGCCTTGGGTTAGCTTTGTTTGGACACCCGTGGGAGAAAGTGTCATGCCAGTTCATGTGTTATGTTGTAAGCTTGTATGCTGCCAGTTCTGCAGTCTTAATTAGACAAACATACAGTGGCTTGTGGAAGTATTCACCCCCCTTGGCATTTTTCCTATTTTGTTGCCTTACAACCTGGAGTTAAAATTGATTTTTTGGGGGGTTGTATCGTTTGATTTACACAACATGCCTACCACTTTGAAGATGCAAAATATTTTTATGTGTGAAACAAACAAGAAATAAAACAAAAAAAAACAGAAAACTTGAGCGTGCATAACTATTCACCACCCCAAAGTCAATACTTTGTAGAGCCACCTTTTGCAGCAATTACAGCTGCAAGTCTCTTGGGGTATGTCTCTATAAGCTTGGCACATCTAGCCACTGGGATTTTTGCCCATTCTTCAAGGCAAACCTGCTCCAGCTCGTTCAAGTTGGATGGGTTCCGCTGGTGTACAGCAATCTTTCAACAATCAAGTCATACCACAGATTCTCAATTGGATTGAGGTCTGGGCTTTGACTAGGCCATTCCAATACATTTAAATGTTTCCCCTTTAACTACTCGAGTGTTGCTTTAGCAGTATGCTTAGGGTCATTGTCCTGTTGGAAGGTGAACCTTCGTCCCAGTCTCAAATCTCTGGAAGACTGAAACAGGTTTCCCTCAAGAATTTCCCTGTATTTAGAGCCATCCATCATTCCTTCAATTCTGACCAGTTTCCCAGTCCCTGCCGAAGAAAAATATCCCCACAGCATGATGCTGCCACCACCATGCTTCACTGTGGGGATGGTGTTCTCGGGGTGATGAGAGGTGTTGGGTTTGCGACAGACATAGCATTTTCCTTGATGGCTAAAAAGCTCAATTTTAGTCTAATCTGACCAGAGTACCTTCTTCCATATGTTTGGGGAGCATCCCACATGCCTTTTGGCGAACACCAAACCTGTTTGCTTATTTTTTTCTTTAAACAATGGCTTTTTTCTGGCCACTCTTCTGTAAAGCCCAGCTCTGTGGAATGTACGGCTTAAAGTGGTCCTATGGACAGATACTCCAATCTCTGCTGTGGAGCTTTGCAGCTCCTTCAGGGTTATCTTTGGTCTCTTTGTTGCCTCTCTGATTAATGCCCTCCTTGCCTGGTCTGTGAGTTTTGGTGGGTTTTTATGTGGTGCCGTATTCTTTCAATGTTTTAATAATGGATTTAATGGTGCTCCGTGGGATGCTCAAAGTTTCTGATATTTTTTTATAACCCAACCCTGATCTGTACTTCTTCACAACTTTGTCCCTGACCTGTTTGGAGAGCTTCTTGGTCTTCATGGTACCGCTTGCTTGGTGGTGCCCCTTGCTTACTGGTGTTGCAGACACTGGGGCCTTTCAGAACAGGTGTATATATACTGAGATCATGTGACAGATCATGTGACACTTAGATTGCACACAGGTGGACTTTATTTAACTAATTATGTGACTACTGAAGGTAATTGGTTGCACCATATCTTATTTTGGGACTTCATAGCAAAGGGGGTGAATACATATGCATGCACCACTTTTCCGTTATTTATCTTTTATACATTTTTGAAACAAGTTATTTTTTTCATTTCACTTCACCAATTTTGACTATTTTATGTATGTCCATTACATGAAATCCAAATAAAAATCAATTTAAATTACAGGTTGTAATGCAACAAAATAGGAAAAACGCCAAGGGAGATGAATACTTTTGCAAGACACTGTACAGTATGTGCATGTGATACCAAAGAGCCTACTAGAGTTCCATTGTTAAGACAGTCAAAGTTTCGTCACAATATACATACACATTGCATAAGACAAATGGCACATAATCAGCAAAGCTATGATGGTGTTGCCCTGCCCTGGTGTTGCAGCTGAAATATTGATGTTCCTTTACCTCTCCTGTTTTCGCCAGACATTCCACAGCCTGCTGATGTGTGAACCCTTGAAACCTGATGCCATCCACTTCCAGCAGTCTGTCACCTGTTAGATGTGCACAAACAAATGCACGCATACACACACTGCCGATTCATAATCTCACTCTAATCTATACTGAACAAATATATATACGCAACATGCAACAATTTCAAATATTTTACTGAGTTACATTATTCCATTTTACATTTTAGTCATTTAGCAGACGCTCTTATCCAGAGCGACTTACAGGAGCAATTAGGGTTAAGTGCCTTGCTCAAGGGCACATCGACTCAATTGAAATAAATTAATTAGGCCCTAATCTAAGGATTTCACATGACTAGGAATACAGATACAGTGTGGAAAAAAGTATTTAGTCAGCCACCAATTGTGCAAGTTCTCCCACTTAAAAAGATGAGAGAGGCCTGTAATTTTCATCATAGGTACACGTCAACTATGACAGACAAATTGAGATTTTTTTTCTCCAGAAAATCACATTGTAGGATTTTTAATGAATTTATTTGCAAATTATGGTGGAAAATAAGTATTTGGTCACCTACAAACAAGCAAGATTTCTGGCTCTCACAGATCTGTAACTTCTTCTTTAAGAGGCTCATCTGTCCTCCACTCGTTACCTGTATTAATGGCACCTGTTTGAACTTGTTATCAGTATAAAAGACACCTGTCCACAACCTCAAACAGTCACACTCCAAACTCCACTATGGCCAAGACCAAAGAGCTGTCAAAGGACACCAGAAACAAAATTGTAGACCTGCACCAGGCTGGGAAGACTGAATCTGCAATAGGTAAGCAGCTTGGTTTGAAGAAATCAACTGTGGGAGCAATTATTAGGAAATGGAAGACATACAAGACCACTGATAATCTCCCTCGATCTGGGGCTCCACGCAAGATCTCACCCCGTGGGGTCAAAATGATCACAAGTACGGTGAGCAAAAATCCCAGAACCACACGGGGGGACCTAGTGAATGACCTGCATAGAGCTGGGACCAAAGTAACAAAGCCTACCATCAGTAACACACTACGCCGCCAGGGACTCAAATCCTGCAGTGCCAGACGTGTCCCCCTGCTTAAGCCAGTACATGTCCAGGCCCATCTGAAGTTTGCTAGAGTGCATTTGGATGATCCAGAAGAGGATTGGGAGAATGTCATATGGTCAGATGAAACCAAAATAGAACTTTTTAGTAAAAACTCAACTCGTCGTGTTTGGAGGACAAAGAATGCTGAGTTGCATCCAAAGAACACCATACCTACTGTGAAGCATGGGGGTGGAAACATCATGCTTTGGGGCTGTTTTTCTGCAAAGGGACCAGGACAACTGATCCGTGTAAAGGAAAGAATGAATGGGGCCATGTATCGTGAGATTTTAAGTGAAAACCTCCTTCCATCAGCAAGGGCATTGAAGATGAAACGTGGCTGGGTCTTTCAGCATGACAATGATCCCAAACACACCGCCCGGGCAACGAAGGAGTGGCTTCATAAGAAGCATTTCAAGGTCCTGGAGTGGCCTAGCCAGTCGCCAGATCTCAACCCCATAGAAAATCTTTGGAGGGAGTTGAAAGTCTGTGTTGCCCAGCGACAGCCCCAAAACATCACTGCTCTAGAGGATATCTGCATGGAGGAATGGGCCAAAATACCAACAACAGTGTGTGAAAACCTTGTGAAGACTTACAGAAAACGTTTGACCTGTGTCATTGCCAACAAAGGGTATATAACAAAGTATTGAGAAACTTTTGTTGTTGACCAAATACTTATTTTCCACCATAATTTGCAAATAAATAAATTAAAAATCCTACAATGTGATTTTCTGGATTTTTTTCTTCTCAATTTGTCTGTCATAGTTGACGTGTACCTATGATGAAAATTACAGGCCTCTCTCATCTTTTTGTGGGAGAACTTGCACAATTGGTGGCTGACTAAATACTTTTTTCCCCACTGTATGCATCTGTTGGTCAAAGTTACCTTACAAAAAAATGGGCCTCACAATGGGCCTCAGGATCTCGTCACGGTATTTCTGTGCATTCAAATTGTCATAGATAAAATGCAATTGTGTTCATTGTCCGTAGCTTATGACTGCCCATACCATAACCCCACTGCCACCGTGGGGCACTGTGTTCACAACGTTGACATCAGCAAACCGCTCGCCCACACGACGCCATACACGTGGTCTGCGGTTGTGAGGCCAGTTGGACGTACTGCCAAATTGTCTAAAACGACGTTGGTAGAGAAATTATCTGGCAGCAGCTCTGGCGGACATTCCTGCAGTCAGCATGCCTATGGCACGCTCTCTCAATACTTGAGACATGAGTGGCCTTTTATTGTCCCCAGCACAAGGTGCACCTGTGTAATGATCATGCTGTTAAATCATCTTCTTGATATGCCATTCCTGTCAGGTGGATGGATTATCTTGGCAAAGGAGAAATGCTCACTATCAGGGATGTAAACAAATTTGTGCACAGAATTTGAGCGAAATAAGCTTTTTGTGCATATGGAAAATGTCTGGGATCTTTTATTTCAGCTCATGAAACATGGGACCAACACTTTACATGTTGCGTTTATATTTTTGTTCAGTGTAAATTAAATTTGTGCTGCAATAATCCAGTGTAATGCTCTTTTAGTGTCATTATTGTTCCAGGTGCTTCACTGTAAAATAATAGAGCTTGTTCAGCATCATACTGTACCTGACTGGATGCGGCCATCTTGCTCAGCAGCCCCACCACAGACTAGGCTTTTGATGAAGACACCGCCATGACGCAGGCCTGTGTTCACACCACCCTGACAAACCAGAAACACAAGGTTATTATCCAACAACATAACAGTCTCGATGGAAATGTAAGTTTATCAATATACACCATCAATAACATTTGCATGTCTGACTAATAGCTGAAGCAGCAATGTAATTGTTTAATTTTATTTTCCTACTGGTACTGACTTTAGTGATAACTACTTTATTGAGGAAAAATGTACTTACTATGACTGAGATGTGTGGTTGTCCCACCTAGCTATCTTAAGATAAATGCCCTAACTGTAAGTCGCTCTGGATAAGAGCGTCTGCTACATGACTGAAATGTAATGTAAAATGTAATTGACATTAATGATAATGTACTATAAAGGGTTAACTCCTCATATTTTTTCATATCAATATAATAAGATCCCCCCACTCAGGCTTCTAAATTAGAGGGATGATTAAAAGGAATAATGTATGTTTATCAGGTTATAAGATCTTACACTCTCTCTGTTTCTCACACGAAGGAGGTAAAGAAATAGAATGTCTGCCAACAGACACACCAGGCGTGTGCTCTCATCCCTGATCCCCCTTCACATCATCAGAATCATGGCCAGGCATAATGAGAATGAGAAGACACACCAAGGATACTGACTATTTGTTGTTCACATAGCACAGATCAACCGTCAATCAGCCTCATTAAATACTCCAGACCACAAGATGGCAGTAGATTTCTTAAGCTATGTTTGGCTTGTGCCTGCGGTAGATAGGTAATGTTAGCTAACTATCAAGCTGCGCTAATGTTGTTGCTAACTAGCTACAATTTGTAGTAAGCCCAGTAACCAGATGGCCACAACTAGATAACTAGCGTACCTAGCAACATTATGATTACATCACAATGCATTATGCAGCTTTACTCTTTTAGTTTGAACAATTCTGATGAAAAGGGGGTGGATTACACTGGGAAAAGTGCCCTCTTTTTTCAGTTTTCTTGTCACTCCTGTCGGCTCCCCCACGTGGAGTTTCGGGCTCTCTGATTGGCTCAAAGTCAAGTGTCTGCCACTGACAAGCAGGGCGGTTCTACAAGTAGAAACTGCAGGTTCGTCGGTACCAGGTCGGTAGGTAGTAAGTACATCTTTTGTTCTAGCAAGAGAAGGAACGACCTCCTAAGTACCTATCTTTTCTCATTGTGTCTGTCTCTCTCTCTCTCTCTTTCTCTCTCTCTCTCTCTCTCTCTCTCTCTCTCTCTCTCTCTCTCTCTCTCTCTCTCTCTCTCTCTCTCTCTCTCTCTCTCTCTCTCTCTCGCTCTCTCTCTCTCTCTCTCTCTTTCTGCGTGTTTATGTTGTATTAGTATGTGAATGTTGTGTGTGCCCATTAATGGACCATTTATCAGGGCTCATAGTATTCCCATTGAAATAAGGGTTAGTGTACTTTACTGTTAAACAGATACCTACGATACCCTATCCCAACAACATCTAGAATAGCTTGCACCTGCCTTGTGAGTGGTGAGTAACTCACGTAGCCTGTTGAAGTTGACCTGTCACAGGCTGTTAGGTAACAGACAGGGGTTGGGTCTCTCTTTCACTCACACACTCACACACAGCTGGGCTTTACTGTAGGCTACTGTAATGTCCGGTAAGCAGGCAGGCTCCAAGCTGCAGGCCCTCCCTCTCCAAGGTGATTAACCCCAGGGGTCTGAGGGATTACCCAGAGACATAGAGGACAGCTGACTTCCTGTCCAGAGAGGTGTGGTCAACTCATCTGTACACCCCATAGACTTAAATACAGTAGGTCCTTCCCTCTCCCGCCTACCAGGAAATACACCCTTTGCTGATAACTCTGGTGTGAGACCACTGATCTCAGATCAGATGTTGGGGAGGAAATGGGGGCTTGTCTGACCCTCTCTTGGGGTATTGCATGGGAAATGGCCTCTCTAGCCTCAGTCTGAGGTTATATCATGTGTATAACAGTAATCTCTGGCACTGTCCAAGGGAGTTATGTGTGAAACAGCAGGTTTGGTGAGTTAACTCACAGCGATACTGATCCCTAAACCTCCAGCTTTCTTCTTCAGCTCCACAGAGATCTCATCACCCCTGAAGCAGTTCATGGAAGGAGCCCTGGAGCAGCCATCCTGGAAAATTTATAGGGGATAAGAGTTAATGATACAATTAAAATGAATGCTTCAATTCACAAGAATGGCTGTATTGTATTGTAATTGTTCTATTCTTTCATCAGATTTAATGGACATTATGTAGAGTTGATTGCTAATGTTCTTTGTCTTGTTTGTAGACAAAATCAAAACGATTGTCAATCACACAAAAGGCTTCACTTTTCCTGAATCTAAGCACATGCGGTATTCACAGTATTGTCTGTAATATGGAAAAGATGATGGTCAGTAGCCATTGGTTACCTGAACATTGAGGATGCGTACGTCAGGGAGTTGCAGTCTACTGCCAGTCTTTGGAGTCAACATGACAGACACGATCTCATCCAGGTTGTCCTCTGTAGAGCGCACATCAGTCATCAAAGTGGTCTGGGACTCGTAGTTCTTCAATAGCGGAGATCTCACATTGTTGGGTGTCAAGGAAACTGTAAAAAAAACACAAAAACACAAACAGATGAATGATCAACTAATAACGAAAGTCATGGAAACCTTTGGCCATGTACAGTATGTATCAGAGGAGGCTGGTGGGAGGACCTATAGGAGGACGGGCTAATTGTAATGGCTGGAATGGAACATGTGACGTGTTTGATACCGTTTCATTTACTTCATTCCAGCCGTTACAATGAGCCCGTCCTCATATAGCTCCTCCCACCAGCCTCCTCTGGTGGTATGTACTGTAGTGAAGTTTTACAGAGGACAAACAATTCAAATTCCAGTAGCTTAAGCATTTGGAGGTCTAACTAAAGTGTCTAGCTGAAAAGTCAACAAGTTTCACATCTACTTAAAAAATACAGTTTAGCACTAAAACAGTGGTGTAAATGATCCTGAACAGAGCAGAGACACACAAACAAATCCAGTACCTTTGGGCTGGGACACGATGAGTGTGACCTCCATTGGGCTGTTCTGCATAATCTCTGCAGCCTCACTGAAGGTCACGCCCTCCAGACTGGTGTGGTTCAGAGAGATCAGACGCCCACCTGAGGGAGAACATAACCATAACATTTCATATATCAGGTTTCACTTTTATATTTAATGTAAATATAAATAATCTTGTTGTTGGTAGCCACTTAGTCCTGGTCCAGAATCAACAGTTAGCCCTTTCCCTTAGCCCCTATCCAATTCATTCAGATTTGTAAACATCATAAAAGCAGGGGATAAGAAAAGGGACTGAGGTTTGTATCTAGACAAGGCCCTAGTCTTAGTTAATTAACCAGCAGTGTGTCAACAGACAAAGCTCAAATAAGAGCTTAGAAAGCCTAGAAACCTGGCATGCAAGGCTATTATTCACACGTTTTGTGTAGCCAGACCAGACGTCATAATCCAGTGTGAGCTTTGTGAGGAGAAGCCTGGAAATAAAGCCTGGTCACCTACCTGGTCTGATGCGGCCATCTTTATCCGCTGGTCCTCCCGGCACGATGGATGCTATGAAGATACCCAGGTCGTACTTCCCCACCGTGTCTTCTCCAACTATCACAATACCTGAACAAATAAAAGGATTGCCTTTCAACTTTTCAATGTAGCTCTACTCTAAAACATGTCCTTTAATGGATATATGACTCAATGCTGTTAACGATATACTCACCTACGCCGAGCTTCGGGACTTTCTTTAAGGACACACAAATTACTTCTCTCTCTGGTATGACACTCTTCGTTAGGGTATCTATTGAACACAAAAAAACATCTATTGACAAAAGTACCACAGCTATCTGATATCAAATTACATTAACCACCTCAAAAGAAACCTGTATGCCATCTCTTCGGATGATAATGATAGACTACTATGGCTGTTGCTAGGATGTCTTCCTCACGGTGCAAGGCCTCGGAACGCTTCCAGATTGTCAGCTCTTGATCCTGTCCCTGATTACCCAGTGTTAAGAGGTTTTCATTTTCTTAGGGGCTGATAATCTATCCATACCTCTGGCTGCTGAAGACATGGAGGGGGCCTCAGACCCACACTTCCCAGACCCACGAGACAGGGCTGGAGACAGGTTCCCAGACAATGGTCTCCCTCTGCTGGAAATGATACAGGGAGAAATGGCTTACAAACATTAGATGAAAGACATATAAAGATACTTAAAAGATGCAAGAAATGAAAGAAAAGGTATGCACAGTATATAGAAAGAAATAATAATTTTATGCTCTCCATCTCTCCTACCCCTGCTCGTGGAGGACACGCTGCTGTTTGACTCGCGCCTCGATTTTGGCGGCAATGTCATCACACAGTTTGGTCATGGAGTCGTCCTGCGGTGTGTTCAGACCGCTGTCTGTCCGTATGGTCTCAGAGACAGAGCACTGGCTCATCTGGCTGTTCATCTGGCTGTTCATCTGGCTGTGGCTGTTCTGAGCCCGACACACTGCCGCATACTGCACTATGCTCTCCTCTGGAAAGAGAAAGGGCTCTTAAGTTCAAGTCATGGGTGGTCAAAAGTGGCTACAGTGAAATCAAGATATGTGTAAATGTAGATCTAATAACTGTGCAAATTACTCTAATAACTGTACTATAATCACAATATTTCCCTGTTTGCCCTATCAATGAGCCCACATGGTACAACAGCGGGATATACACTGAGTGTACAAAACATTAGGAACACCTTCCTAATATTGAGTTGCACCCCTCTTTTGCCCTCAGAACAGTAGTCTCAATTCGTTGGGGTACGGACTCTCTAAGGTGTCAAAAGCGTTCCACAGGGATGCTGGCCCATGTTGACTCCAACCCTTCCCACAGTTGTGTCAAGTTGGCTGGATGTTGTTTGGGTAGTGGACCATTCTTGATACACACAGGAAACTGTTGCGCATGAAAAACCCAGCAGCGTTGCAGTTCTTGATGCACTCAAACTGTTGTGCCTGGCACCTACTACCATACATACCCCGTTCAAAGGCACTTAAATCTTTTGTCTTGCTCATTCCCTTTCTGAATAGCACACATACATAATCCATGTCTCAATTGTCTCAAGGCTTAAAAATCATTCTTTAACCTGTCTCCTCTCCTTCATCTACACTGATTTAAGTGGATTTAACAAGTTAATCAAAAATGGATCATAGTTTTTACCTGGATTCACCTGGTCAGTCTATGTCATGGAAAGAGCAGGTGTTCCTAATGTTTGTTCACTCAGTGTATAGCTTGCTACCTGTATGGCTGAAGAGTCTGGCAAAAAGTAATGCTAAGATTCACCAAGAACAGGACACAAACTGTATAAAATCAGAAAAAGTTGTCTCTGGGATGGTATTAACAGGAATGTAGTAGTAGTGGTGGTTATGGTTGGGGCCAGGAGTTTTTCTTGACTATGTTACCTAACCAGGAAAAGCTTTTGGCCCAAGGCCAGTTATGATGGCATGAAAGGTTCTAACCTGAAGCCAGACTGTGGCTGAGCTGACGAGAGTTCATCTCATTGTGAAACTTGTGCTGGGCAGAACAGAGGTTGCACAGGTACGTGGCCGTCTTGGATCTCTCTGTGACTAAGGTGTGCTTTTTCTTGCTCCCTCTGCTCTCGATGACAAATTTACGGTGCTGTGGTAGGACAGAGAGGAGGGGTTAAGCCATTTACAGACATAACAAGCCAACAAAACAACAACAGCTACAAAATCTTTATATTCAACTACACTGAACAAAAATGTAAACGCAACATGTTCCCTCTAAGCTGCGTACTGGCGTGCAGTAGTCCCTATACTGCCTCCCGGAAGAACTATCAGCCCAGGGAGAGAAACATGACATTGAACTTCACTCAACTTTCTAGAGTTTTGCCTGTTAACACTATCAACGTTTCCCTTTACTGTGGCAATTGTTATCGAATTAATGCAGTATTAGCCACTTTCAATGCAACATACCGAAACAAAACCAACTATGCAAGAGATTTTGTTGTATGCAGAATGCATTGGAGTAGGATTCTATTGAGCACAGCTCAGTCCTTACTCTACAAAGACCGGCAGCAGAACCAATCAGAGCTGCAGTAGGCCTATATGCAAATAGACCATTGCCATATATGGATCTGTGCCATTTACTTTGAACTGGACTGTGTTTACAGCTGTGGTCGTGAGTAGAAGCGCTTATTTTGAGATCAAAGCAAGAGCTGCATGTAGCCACTTGTGCACATTTTGTCCATATCCTTTGCTAGTTAGTGAGTTATTAGCCCAGTTATAGATAATTTGTAGTCAGCAATAGGGGAGTGATTGCTTCCTACAAGACCACAAAACATGTACATTTCTAGACATCTTTGAAATGCGAGTCAGGTAAAGAGCTTTTTTTTCTTAAAGGGGCAGTGTTGTATTTTGAGACAGGCTTGAATAAGCTAAGTAGCCAATAGGCAGAGGGTAGCATCATTTGTCTGATTCACTGTAATAATGGTATGGGAATAATAATACATTTAATTTTGTAAAGTGGTTTGTTGCATCAAACAGCACAAAAACATTTTCAGTCACCTCCTTATCTGAAAGGACAAGTGGATGAACAGGTTAATGTCAAGCCCTGCATGTTTTTTCAAAAGTCTCATGGAATGTAGGCCTACATTGAACACCACACATTGGCTGCTACTGTAGGCTGATAGAACAGCTATTTTCATGTTAAAATGTTATGGGATGCATTTTCTACATTGTTTTTGATGGTAGGCCACTCTGGTAGGCCTACATTATGATCAAATGCCACAGTAGCTTACTTGGCCAATGTTAAAAGTATAATTTAAAGCGGGTACAGCCTCAGCGTTCACAGTAAACGTTCTCTGGAAGTTGCACAGAAATTTCACAAAGTTCATGTTTGTGCTCAGCAGATCTGAAATGTGCTCAGTGCCAAAAATAATTAGAGGGAACATTGGTCCCATGTTTCATGAGCTGAAATAAAAGATCACAGACATTTTCCAAATGCACAAAAAGCTTATTTGTCTCTAATTTTGTGCACAAATGTGACTCGTTTCAGGAAACTAGACATATGTCACAGGTCACTACTTCACAGGAGAGCCATTCAATTTCTTTTTTTATCAAAATGCGCCTTAATAACAAACTTGTATGCCATTTGTAAATACGAATACAATGTTTTAATTACGAGGCTAGTTGGTTAAGCCACAGAGAAAGACAGCGACCTTCCCACTAGCCATGATTGGCTGAGATAATGAGTGGGCTGGACATGCCGAGAGAGGAGTTCAGGTTGGTCTGCCATATAGCATGCTTCTGTCTATTTGAGCTGGTCAGTATGAGTAAGTAATCCTGTCTAACCCGGCTTTTTTTAAAATGTATCGTATAGTGGGGCTGCATAAGTGTTGCTCTCCACTTTCTGGAGGATCGAGTTTTGAAATCAGTGGAATTAAAGTATGATAGCTAAAGAGATGGAGAAAACACCTGTCTCCAGGATTACATCTTCCAACTAAGGGCAACCATGGCATCCGTGACAGGGAGACGCGTCCATCCATGCATGATGTATACGGGTAAGATTGTCTAGCTAGCTACATTTTCAGATATTACACGTTTCTAATTTTGACAGAAAGTGGTTTCATTTCAAGTTAAAGTGTAGTGTTAGCTAGCTAGCTAATGTTAGCTGTCTGGCTCGCTAGCTAACGTTACGTGTATGATCTTATTATTCGTATCTCAGATTCATGCAGGGTAGTAATGTCATGAGTTGGGATTGTTCATTGTTTAGCTAGCTAGCTAACTGACATGTTGTCCACCCAATCAAAGGATCAGAGAATTAATCTAGTACTGAAAGCATAAGCTACAGCTAGCTAGCAATGAAGTGCATTAATTGGGGGGAGTAGTTGACTCAAAGAGAGAGAAAGACAATAGTTGAACAGTTTTAACAAATAATTTTTTTCTAAAATGAAGGAGAAGCGAGAGAGAGAGAGAGCGAGTGAGAGAAAAAGAGCGAGAGAGCTATATATATATATAAAAAATCACTTTCACTTACTTAGCTGGTGAATGCAGTTATTTAGCCTACTCAAACACCCGGCTCAAACAGAGAGGGATGCCATGTTACCTAGCTTGCTATGGCTATCCAGAACTTGAACTCTTCCAAGTCAAGGTCAGCTTTTGGTTTTATGAATTTAAATACCACCAAGGCCCGCCGGTGTAATTGCTCAACTGTTTGCTAATTGTACCCTGTACTGCATGATTGTAGCGGGTTTACTAACGCGTTAGTTCTAGTACCTATGTTCTTGACTTGACGTTAGCTAATATGGTGACAACTATGTAAGCTGTGTGTAGCGATTAGCGTTTCTAATATGAAGGTTCGGCTTGGAAAGGTTTTTTCGCCTGGTCACAGACAGCTGATGTGTTGTGCACTGAAGTCCACAAGCAAAGGGAAAAAGTGAGAGGAGGAGAGCGTTTAGATGTGACAAGGAATTATATAACAATCTGGCTACTTTGAAAGTGAACTGTGTCTGTGTGTGATCAGGGGTGTAGTCTTTCCGCCGATTCTGTTGAAAAGCATTTGTTAAACGGAGCAAACGGAACCAAACTGGGATAAACATACCTGAATTTGTCCAATATAAATTCTCGTTTGCAAATGTTGTACTAATGATTACACCCTAGATCAGCTAAATGCAGGCAAGATTGTGCAAGGCGGTATTGAATGTGTCACTGTCTGTCACCTTGATTACTCAAATTTCTCTCGACCTGTGCACCTACATTGTCAACTTTCATTCATATGCTACATTGTAGCAACCTCATGATGGGTATAGGTAAAATTCTAGTATCATGTAGTAGCCTAAACCTATCAATGTTACATTTAGCTGGATGAATGGAATATGAATGACAGTCATCCAATATGCGGTAATAGAAAAAAGGCCATGATCCTAAATACAAAATTGCGTACTCCCTCTTCATAAATGGCACCGACCGCCACTGGCTCTGAAACACCCCACTGGGCACACCATGTAATTTCAACGTGGATAATTCGGTAATATTTGATTGAGACATTGATCAATGAGATTACAACCTATATTCACCCACTCAAAAATACAGCCAAAAGTTAGTTGAATTTCCAATTTGTTATCATTAAGCTTTCAACCATCTAAGCACAACCAAATTATAATGGAAAAACAATGTCAGAATTTTGGTTTAGTTGTCACCCAAATGTCTATCACTGCGCTTTCAACCATATAAAATGGGAATACAATGTCAGATATTTTGTTTATTTATACAACAGATGAATGCATTATCACTGTGCTTCATCTACACTGAACAAAAATACAAACGCAACATGCAAAGTGTTGGTCCCATGTTTCATGAGCTGAAATAAAAGATCCCAGAAATTTTCCACACGCACAAAAAGCTTATTTCTCTCAAATTTTGTGCACAAATGTGTTTACATCCCTGTTAGTGAGCATTTATCCTTTGCCAATATAATCCATCCACCTGACAGGTGTGGTATATCAAGAAGCTAAATAGCAGGATCATTACACAGGTGCACCTTGTGCTGGGGACAATAAAAGGCCACACTAAAATGTGCAGTTTTGTCACACAACACAATGCCACAGATGTCTCAAGTTTTGAGGGAGCGTGCAATTGGCATGCTGACTGCAGGAATGTCCACCAGAGTTGTTTCCAAATAAATTAATGTTAATTTCTCTACCACAAGCTGCCTCCAACGTCGTTTTAGAGAATTTGGCAGTACGTCCAACCAGCCTCACAACCGCATAGGCTGGTTGGATATATGGGCAGGCATAAGCTACGGACAATGAACACAATTGCATTTTATTGATGGCAAATTGAATGCACAGAGATACCGTGAGGCCCATTGGTGTGCCATTCATCCGCCACCATCACCTCATGTTTCAGCATGATAATGCACAGCCCCATGTCACAAGGATCTGTACACAATTCCTGGAAGCTGAAAATGTCCCAGTTCGTCCATGGCCTGCATACTCACCAGATATGTCACCCATTGAGCATGTTTGGGATGCTCTGGATCGACATGTATTACATCGTCTTCCAGTTCCCGCTAATATCAGCAACTTCACACAGCCATTGAAGAGGAGTGGGACAACATTCCACAGGCCACAATCAACAGCCTGATCAACTCTATGCAAAGGAGATGTGTTTTCTGATCCACCCTACCTTTTTTTAAAAAAGGTATTTGTGATCAACAGATGCATATCTTTATTCCCAGTAATGTGAAATCCATAGATTAGGGCCTAATTTATTTATTTAAATGTACTGATTTCCTTATGTGAACTGTAGCTCAGTAAAACGATTGAAATTGTTGCATGTTGCGTTTATATTTTTGTTCAGTATATTCAGTATATATTCACTTTCAACATTCCTCAGTTCCCCTTCATTAAAGTGCAACTCCAATGAAAAAACAGAGTTTTGCATTATCATAAAAGGCATGATACTCACAGAGGAGGAAATACTGGCCGTTTCCCGCCAGTGGAATGTCTGACTCGTGGAGCGGGAGCTATCTTTAACTTCATACACTATGACTCCTTTGGCACACACTCCTAGGATCAGCTCTCCGATGACTGGCTTCTTCTCACGACCCACGCGGTAGAACATAACGCCATACTCAGGAAGCTGCTGGGTGGTCTGGGAGGAAGTAAGATGTTAGACCTTAGAACTGCCGACGTGCAAGCTTCCTGCACAGGCTAAGAATACGAGCCAAATGTGTATGTAATATACAGTATTACAATATGTTTGTCTTTAATGCACTGTGCAGGTGCCACAGCCTTTTAGTGTAATGATTCAAATATTAGTATTATGGAATTAATGAGACCAATATAACCGTTTATATATATGCCATTTAGCAGAAGCTTTTATCCAAAGCGACAGTAATGCGTGCATACATTTTACGTATACAGTGAGGGAAAAAAGTATTTGATCCCCTGCTGATTTTGTACGTTTGCCCACTGACAAAGAAATGATCAGTCTATAATTTTAATGGTAGGTTTATTTGAACAGTGAGAGACAGAATAACAACAACAAAAATCCAGAAAAACGCATGTCAAAAATGTTATAAATTGATTTGCATTTTAATGAGGGAAATAAGTATTTGAGCCCCTCTCAATCAGAAAGATTTCTGGCTCCCAGGTGTCTTTTATACAGCTATCGAGCTGAGATTAGGAGCACACTCTTAAAGGGAGTGCTCCTAATCTCAGCTTGTTACCAGTATAAAAGACACCTGTCCACAGAAGCAATCAATCAATCAGATTCCAAACTCTGCACCATGGCCAAGACCAAAGAGCTCTCCAAGGATGTCAGGGACAAGATTGTAGACCTACACAAGGCTGGAATGGGCTAGAAGACCATCGCCAAGCAGCTTGGTGAGAAGGTGACAACAGTTGGTGCGATTATTCACAAATGGAAGAAACACACCCGGCGCCCTCGGGACACGAGAGCGTTTCCGCCCTCATCTCCTGTCTCACCGGCAAGGCGTTGGAGTGGGCCTACGCCGAATGGAGGAGAATAGACGCCGCTACTATCACCTATGCGGAGTTCTCCCGCCGCTTCCGTGCAGTGTTCGACCATCCACCAGAGGGGAAGGCGGCGGGGGAGCGTCTATTCTACCTCCGGCAGGGGATGAGGAGCGCTCAGGAGTTTGCACTGGAGTTCCGGACTCTAGCGGCAGATGCAGGGTGGAATGAGCGGGCACTCATAGACCACTTCCGCTGCAGCCTCCGGGAGGACGTCCGCAGAGAGTTGGCGTGCAGGGATACTACACTCTCATTTGACCAGTTGGTTGACATGGCCATTCGGCTGGACACCCTGCTCGCTACCCGCGGACGTCCCAGGTGGGGGTCGCCCATTCCACCCTCCAGCGCCTCCGAGCCGAGCCCGATGGAGCTCGGAGGTGCTGGCGCTAGAGGAGGGAGAAGAAGGAGCCCGAGGGGGGCCGTCCCCTGCACCAACTGTGGCCGTGGAGGGCACACCGCGGCTAGGTGCTGGGGAGGGTCCCCTGGTGGAGGAGACGGCAGACCACACATTGGGGAGTCCTCCCAGGTGAGTAGGCGCCCCACTTACCCAGAGCTTTCTGTCGTACACATAACTATAACTGTTTGTTTTCCACAGGTTGCACCTCGTTCCCAGCATAAGGCGCTAGTAGATTCAGGCGCAGCTGGGAATTTTGTAGATCGCAAATTCTGTGTAGAGTTAGGGATTCCCCTCCTTCCGGTTAACAATCCTTTCCCTGTACATGCCCTAGATAGTCGTCTTTTAGGATCCGGGTTGATTAGGGAGGTCACAGCGCCACTTAGGATGGAGACGCAGGGGGGTCATGAGGAGACGATACAGCTCTATCTGATCGACTCTCCTGCGTATCCGGTGGTACTGGGGCTTCCCTGGTTGATTACCCATGATCCTACTATTTCGTGGCGAGAGAGGGCTCTTAAAGGGTGGTCTGCTCAGTGTGAGGGGCTATGTCTGGGTGTTTCCGTAGGGGCGACCTCGGTGGAGAGTCCAAACCAGATGCCCGCACTGCACATTCCACCTGAGTATGAGGATTTGGCACTCGTGTTTAGCAAGACAAGAGCGGCACGGTTGCCGCCTCATAGACAGGGGGATTGTGCGATAGACCTCCAGGCAGGAGCTGCGCTCCCGCGGAGCCATGTGTATCCGTTGTCACAGGAGGAGAAGAGGGCAATGGAGACATACATTGCCGAGTCTCTGAGACAGGGATACATACGGCCCTCCACTTCACCCGCGTCCTCGAGCTTCCTTTTTGTGAAGAAAAAGGATGGAGGTTTGCGCCCGTGTATTGATTACCGCGGTCTAAATCAGGTGACTGTGAAATATAGTTATCCGCTCCCGCTGATTGCAACTATGACGGAGTCATTACACGGGGCACGGTTCTTCACAAAATTGGACCTCAGGAGCGCATATAACTTGGTGCGCATTAGAGAGGGCGATGAATGGAAGACAGCATTTAGTACTACCTCCGGTCATTACGAGTATCTCGTCATGCCATACGGGTTAATGAATGCTCCATCAGTCTTCCAATCCTTTGTAGATGAGATTTTCCGGGACATGCAGGCGCAGGGAGTAGTGGTGTACATCGACGATATTCTGGTGTACAGTTCTACCCGGGTCGAGCATGTAGCCCTGGTGCGCAGAGCATTGAGGAGATTGTTGGAGCATGACCTGTATGTCAAAGCCGAGAAATGTCTGTTCTTCCAGGAGTCGGTCTCCTTTTTGGGTTATCAGTTGTCTGCGTCAGGGGTGAGGATGGAGGTTGACCGTGTGTCAGCCGTGCATAATTGGCAAACCCCAACCACGGTTAAAGAGGTGCAGCAGTTCTTGGGTTTTGCGAATTACTACCGGAGGTTTATCCGGGGTTTTGGACAGGTGGCAGCTCCCATAACGTCCCTTCTGAAGGGGGGTCCAGTGCGCTTGCGGTAGTCAGCTGAGGCGGACAGGGCTTTTGGGAGACTGAAGGACCTGTTTACCTCGGCTCCAGTGCTGGCGCACCCGGATCCCACTTTACCATTCCAAGTGGAGGTGGACGCGTCTGAAGCCGGTATCGGGGCTGTTCTTTCACAACGGTCCGGCACACCACCTAAACTCCGCCCCTGTGCTTTTTATTCGAAAAAGCTCAGTCCGGCGGAGCGGAATTTTGACGTAGGGGACAGGGAGCTGTTAGCCGTGGTACAGGCCCTAAAGGTGTGGAGGCATTGGCTTGAGGGGGCTCAACACCCTTTTCTCATTCTGACTGACCACCGTAACCTGGAATACATTCGGGCAGCTAGGAGACTAAATCCTCGCCAGGCTCGGTGGACTATGTTTCTAGCCCGGTTCGTGTTTAAGATCACTTACATCCCTGGGTCCCAGAACGGGAAGGCAGATGCCCTGTCTCGGCGGTATGACACAGAGGAGAGGTGCGTGGAGCCCACTCCCATACTACCTAAGTCTTGTCTGGTTGCACCGGTGGTATGGGAGGTCGATGCGGAGATCGAGCGGGCATTACGCACCGACCCTAGCCCTCCACAGTGTCCGGTGGGTCGGACGTACGTCCCGCTCGAGGTCCGGGATCGGCTTATTTATTGGGCTCACACGTCACCCTCCTCTGGACATCCAGGTATTGGCCGGACGGTGCACTGCCTTAGTACTAAGTACTGGTGGCCAACGTTAGCCAGGGATGTGAGGATTTATGTATCCTCCTGGTCAGTGTGTGCCCAGTGTAAGGCGCCCAGACACTTGCCCAGGGGTAAGTTACAACCCCTGCCCGTTCCACAACGACCCTGGTCTCACCTCTCGGTGGATTTTGTTACCGACCTTCCCTCCTCACAGGGGAATACCACCATCCTGGTCGTTGTGGATCGGTTCTCGAAGGCCTGTCATCTCCTTCCCATGCCGGGTCTTCCTACTGTCCTACAGACCGCTGAGGCTCTATTTACTCACGTCTTCCGGCATTACGGGGTACCCGAGTATATAGTGTCTGATCGAGGCCCCCAGTTTACCTCCAGAGTCTGGAGAGCGTTTATGGAACGGTTGGGGGTTTCGGTGAGCCTTACCTCGGGTTACCACCTGGAGAGTAATGGGCAGGTCGAACGTGTCAACCAGGATGTGGGTAGGTTTCTGAGGTCATATTGCCAGGGCCGGCCGGAGGAGTGGGCGAGATATGTGCCCTGGGCCGAGATGGCACAGAACTCTCTCCGCCACTCCTCCACTAAACTAACCCCTTTCCAGTGTGTGTTAGGGTACCAGCCGGTTCTGGCACCTTGGCATGAGAGCCAGATCGAGGCCCCTGCGGTGGATGAGTGGGTGCGGCGCTCGGAGGAGACGTGGAACGCTGCACACGTCCATCTGCAGCGAGCCATCCGTCGACAGAAGACGAGCGCCGACCTCCACCGCAGTGAGGGGCCAGTGTACGCACCTGGAGATCGAGTCTGGCTCTCAACCAGAAACCTGCCCCTCCGCCTGCCCTGCCGGAAGCTGGGTCGGCGGTTTGTGGGGCCTTTTAAAGTCCTGAGGAGATTGAACGAGGTGTGTTACAGATTACAACTGCCCATTGATTACAAAAATATTAACCCCTCGTTCCATGTGTCTCTCCTCAGGCCGGTGGTAGCTGGTCCACTCCAGGACTTTGAGATAGAAGAGACTCCTCCGCCCCCGTTGGACATCGAGGGGGCTCTGGCGTACACTGTTCGGGCCATCCTAGATTCGAGACGCCGGATGGGGGGTCTCCAATATCTCGTGGAGTGGGAGGGGTACGGCCCGGAGGAGCGGTGCTGGGTGCCGAGGAGGGACATTCTAGACCCGTCTCTTCTGACCGAGTTCCATCGTGGTCATCCTACGCGCCCTGCTCCGCGTCCTACTGGTCGTCCCCGAGGCCGGGGGCGGCGCACGGCTGGGGCCGCGCGTCAAGGGGGGGGTACTGTCACGGTTTCGGCCGAGGCGGCTCCTTCTCCTTGTTCGCGCAGGCTTCGGCGGTCGTCGTCTCCGGAGTACTAGCTGACCACCGTTCGATGTTTCATGTTTGATTGGTTTTGTCTGTTTGTTACACCTGTTTATTGTTAGTGTTCATTAGGCACCCGATTTAGTTCTCTTGTGTTTGGTCAGGTGTTGTGTGTAATTGTTCGATGTCACGTGTTGTT